TTGAAGTTTACGGTAGCGCTTTGCGTTAGGATTAACATACATACATATTGTCCCGTTTTGCAATGTATCGCAAGCCCTCTAAGTTTAAGTGCGCGGAGCATTCCTATTCCATGTTCTGTTAAGGCAGCCATACAAGTACTCCTTACTGTATGATTACCTTAGTAATACATCTAGAATCCTCCAAATGTCTGCCACGCTCACTTAGTTAAATACATTTCAATCTGCAAAAACGCATAATTATCTGGTAACTATTTGTTAGGAAGCACCGTTCCATCCGACATGTCTGCTTAAACTGCTGGCTCTCCGTTTCCATGTTTGTTAAATTCTTTGGTTCGGGTAAGATTACTGCTTGGGTGAGTTTTTGTTTATAGCAATTTAGATTATGTTTGTATATGGCCATAAAACTAGACGCCGGAAGTAATTACTCCGTAGCTTGGAAACCGTTCGCTGTGTAGGAGCACCGGGGCCAGACGTCATGGTGGCCGGATAATTACATGGATGAGGAAGAAGACTTGTCGAGCACCTGATTAATGTGTTTATTGTCCTTAGCTTTGAATTCTTACAAGAGTCACCCCTCAGAGATAAGAAACAGCAACTAAAAAGGGGGAGTAATTATAGTGAGCGTACGCCATTCAGCTCTCACGTTTCTTTAGGTTGTTAAGGCGGTGGGGTTAATTATAATGGTATACGCTAATTAACTGTCAGTTATACTGGTGTACGCCAATTAACTGTCAGTGAAGTCAGGGGGTCGTCGGGGGTCCTAAACTCGGCTGACCCAAATATTCAATTCACGATGGAACCTGGAAGAAATCACCTACTTTCCTTCCTCGGCGTCCCGGCGCGCCTGTCATTATCTGGACAACAGCAAGCCAGAGTATTTAGAAAAGCCACCAAGATAACGCAGATACTAGACTTTAATAACAAGCATACCATGTCTCACAAACGTGATTGCATTTGTACTCTCTTTTAAAGAGTTAAAACGCATTGCAGCAAACCAGCGACCATAAGAGTTAAACAACAATATATGCACGAAGTCTTCTAAGCTAACGGATAACCGAATTCCTTTGTCAAACAAAGCAAGCACCGGGTAAACAGACCACGGCCAAAGGACAGCTACTTGTAATCTGGAAGACCACTCCCTACATAAAAGTAGTCTCCGAAGCGGTCTCTCAGCTGTTACAACCTGCTGGAATAGGCACAGCTTAGGTGACAACATGTCGCCGTGTGATGCACCGTTAATACAGGTTGCCCCCTTAATGAAACTCCTGCAGGTG